GCTCTCATCCCTGTCCCACCGCATCCCCCCGGCTCTCGGCTCTCATCCCTGTCCCACCGCATCCCCCCGGCACTCTGCTCTCATCCCTGTCCCACCGCATCCCCGCTGCACTCATCCCTGTCCCACCGCATCCCCCCGGCTCTCGGCTCTGCCCCGTCCGCGCTGTGGCTCCCGGAGGCCGGGGGGACACGCGGCACACGGTACACACTGCTCCAGGCAAAGCTCCCGGCCCAGATTTCCCCTTTTCCCCATTTGCTGCCCGGGGTCGCCCAGACGGAGTTGCCCCGTGCTCCTGTGAGGAGGAGGGTGACCCCGGGAAATGCTGGACACAAGGGGAGGAAAGGGAGAGGAGCTGCTCCTTTCTGCTGCCCCACATCCTGGCGCATGTCCCTCGGCCAGCTGCTCTCTCAGCAGTGACCCAAGAGAGGTAGGACACAGCTCCTGACACCCTCCAGCTGAAAAAGAGGTTTCCCAAGCAAAGACACCAGCAGACCATTACATAAGAGGAGGAAAATTCTGCAGCTCCTTCGGACCAAAGGAGAGCAGCAGAGAAATGCATTTGCAGCAGGCGAGCTGCCCACCAACTCTCCAGACAGCAAGCTCTGCTCCTCTGGGAACCTAAGCCAGGAGCACCTGGGACAGCGGATCCAGCCCCAGCAGAGCTGACAGCCCCTTGCAGGAAAGGCAGGAGGAAAGGCAGGCTGGCTTTGCAGGAGCTTTGCACTTAACTTGTAATTCTAAATCACAGAAACGTAATTAAAAAGCAAAACCCAAAAAATGCAGCTCTCTGCTTGGTGTCTCCTCTTTTACCAAATTTCTGCTATATTTTAGTGAGTTTTGTCAAGCAGAAATTATTTATTTTGAGATGGGACCAAGGGCACTGCAAAGTCTGAGAGAACAAGGCTCTTCCATAATAAACCCCTACAGAAAAAGCAAGAGGGTGAAGTGGAAACTGGGGAGCTCAGAAATGCCAGCTACAGCCTCTGTCTGATTCAGTACTAGACAAACAGCAGACTGCACTCAGCTTGGAGTATTTATCAGTGTTTTGGAGAAGAAACAGCATATTCAGCAATCCCTTTCATGCTGACACCCCTTCTACACATGCTTCTACTGCTACTAGCAGCTGGGCTTGATGAACTTGAGGTCTTTCCCAACTTAGTCATCCTATGACTATGACTCTGTGTGGATGAACTGGTGGAGGAAGAGCCAAACTGAGATGGCTTTGAAGGGCCTGTGTTAGGTTGCAGAGGCACTGATTCAGATTGGGAGCCCAAACCCTTTCAGAAGTGTGAAAATAACTGCATTGGTAAAGATGGCCTATCTAATGTTTAGGTATTTCATTGGGTGTTGCAAGCACATCACGGCTTTCAAATCCAGGCTGTTTTTACTTAGTGATCTAGTGGATCTGCAAAAGTAGATTTGAGTTCTTTCAGGCAACAAGGAGAGGTCTAAGGTGGGAAGCTCTGCAGAAAAAATCCTGTCAGCCATTCTATTTGCACATCTTAAGGTACTGCCTTCCTCAATAACCCCAGGAAATGCTAAGCTCCATTGGTGCATATTACAGCTCTTTGTCTATTTTATGATGTACTTATGCCAATGGTTGAGTGCTCCCAGGGAATAAAGTCAAAACGCAAAGGCTTTATCGAGTCTTTGTACTTACACACAGAAGTGAGACCTTGAGTGGGAAGCCAGAGCCTGATTCGGAAACCTGGAATTGCTTCACTTGGCTGCTGTGGCTTTACCTAGTAGATCCTTCACAGAGCTGAGGAGCTCAGGAGCTTGGCCAGATCATAAAATGACAGAATGGTTTGGGTTCTAAAGGACCTTAAAGAACATCCAGTTCCAAACCCTTGCCATGGCAGGGACACCTTCATCTAGACCAGGCTGCACAAAGTCCCATCCAACCTGGCCTTGAACACTTCCAGAGACGGGGATCCACAACGTCTCTGAACAAGATCCAGTGACTCATACCTTCACAGTAAAGAATTCCTTCCTAATATCCAATCTAAATCTACACTTTTTTAAGCTTAAAGCCATTCCCCATTGACCTGTTAGGTTGCAGACAATAATTGAGATGATTCATTACAGCCAGTAACCACAGGAGCGGCTCAGGAACACAGCACAAATTGACTGGACCACCTTGGGACAGACATGTCCCTC